TTCAAAGGCAGTTGAGGAATCAGAAGGCATCCACCCTACCATCCTCCACATCGTGTAGCTCGCACCACTATTCCCCAGTCACACTGCTTGCCACAGTGAAGCCTTTGCCAAGGCAGAAGCCACAGAAGCTATCCTTCCTCCAAACAGCCCAACCTGATGGAAACTGTACCAACTACTAGTACACAAAATATGGCTTTGGGGGACTGAGGAACTGGATTCTGGTTTTTATTTTAATGTTGACAGCCACATGTGGCTGGTGGCTACCGTACTGAGATGTGCGTTCCAGGGTTGCAGGGAGGAATGTGTATAATCAGAAATTTCTCTCCCACCCACCAGTTCCGGAATAACTGCCCAGAAGCTTAATATTACTTATAAATGCTTGGCCAATTGTTCCGTTTATTATTAGTTAGTTCTTACATTTAAATTACCCATATTTTTTTTATCTATGCTTTGCCACATAGTTCATGGCTTGCTACCTCATTTTTTGTTGTTGTTGTTGTTGTTTTCAAGACACAGTTTCTCTGTTTAACAGTCCAAGCTGGCCTGGAACTAGCTCTTGTAGACCAGGCTGACTTCAAACTCACAGAGATCCGCCTGCCTCTGCCTCCCAAGTGCTCGGATTAAAGGTGTGCGCCACCACCGGGAGAGCGTTACGTCATTTTTTACATGCCCTGCTTCCTCAGCAGCTGACTGGTGTGTCTCAGACTCTGCCCCTCTTCTCCTGTATCTCTGCTTGGATTTCCTGCCTGGCTCTATCCTGTCTTGCCATAGACCCAAGCAGCTTTATTTATTAACGGAGAGCAACACATTTTCATAGTGTACAGAAGGATCATCCCACAGCAAGTGTGTATGGTGTAGCTACTTGTGTGCACCAATCAAGGACTGCAGACAGTGGAGGGAAAAACAGCGCCCAGATCAAATAACACATTTGTAGGCCATCTGCAGGAATTTAGAGTTTCTTTTATTTATTGCATTTTATTTCATTGAGTATTTTGGGCACCGGAAATGAAACTGAAAGCCTCATCATTCGGTGACTTCGATCTTGCAATGACATGTCATGTTTGCTGTGTTGTTTTCATTTGAACTCAGGCCACATTCAGGGGTGGGGATATCAGGGTAAGGATGCCAGAAGGCAAAGATGGTTGGGGCCAGGGACACCTTAGAGGTTGTCCACCATAGCTCACAGAAGGTTCTGAACAAGAGAATGACAAGGACAGGTTATTTGTTTTTTTGTTTGTTTTGGTTTTTTGAGACAAGGTCTCTCTACATCACTCTGGATGGCCTGAATGTCACTTTTTGCACCAAGGCTGGACCTGAATTTACAGAGATCTGCCTGCCTTGGCCTCCCAAGTGCTGGGATTAAAGGTGTGGGCCACACATCTAACACAGTTGGTAGTTTTAAAAAGAAGGAACCTAGCTTGGTGGTGGTAGCACACACTTTTAATCCCAGCACTTGGGAGGCAGAGGCAGGTGGATCTCTGAGGTCGAGGCCAGCCTGGACTACTACAGAGTGAGTTCCAGGACAGCCAGCACTACACAGAAAAACCCTGCCTTGAAAAACCAATAAAATAAAAAATAAATAAAAATAAGCAACCTGTTTGGTGCCATGGCATATACTTACAGTCCTTACTAGGGAGACTAAAGCAAGATTGCTTGCTGTCAGAGTTCAAGACCAGCCTGGGTGACAAATAGCAAGAGCTTGTTGGAAACAGATAGAAAGGAAAGAAGGGAGGGAGGACAGAGGGAGAAGCTATACAATACATTACAAGAAACGACCAACTTTTACTTACTCAATTAGTGCAGCTTTTTGGATAATGGTACAATCAATAACCCTGAATGTTTATTCTTTGGCCTGAGTGCAATGATTTCTGTAGTCAGATTCCAGGAAATGTGCCTCTCGCATTGTCGTGTGATTATTTCATCCAACTTAACACAAGCTAATGAGACCTCTTCTTAGGAAGCTTAGACAGTTTCAGGATTCCCAGGGTAATGTAAGCAGAAAACAACTCCAGGAGAAGGAACTTCAGTGGAGCGACCTTCACACTGGGCAGGGAGCTCCAGGTATGCAGTTTTCCCAAGTCCCCACTCATGCTGATGGGCTTCTAGGTGATTCATCTGCCTTTGAGTCACCTGTGATGTAATTAGCCATTGGCTCATGAGGCTAGAACTGGGTAGGACCATGTTTATGGTCTGCTGTTAGTGACCGATCTCAGATGAATAGATGTCTGTTTATGTCTTCCCAGGAAAAGTCACTCAACACATAAGGGTGGTGGCAAATTTCCCTTGTTTAAAAACATCTCTAGGGGCTAGAGAGATGGCTCAGCAGTTAAGAGCATTGACTGCTCTTCGAGAAGTACCTGGGCTCAATTCCCAGCACCCATATGGCAGCTTATCACTGTCTGTAACTCCAGTTCCAGGGAACCTGACACCCATGGCAAAACACCCATGCACATAATAAACAAACCAACCAACCATCTCTAAAACCTGGGAGTTGTGACTGGTATCTTCTCTTCATCTCCTGTTAATTCCAGCTCAATGATGCTCTCAAGTTACTTGTTCACATGACCTGGCTGCTGCGACCCCAGGGTACCACCATTCTGCTGAAGGTTTATCCCAAAAGATCTACTCCCTGTCTTAGCCAAATACTAGGTTGCAAACAGTTAAACCAGACTCTGGGTAATTTAAGAAGACCTGGAAGAGACTGGACAGCTTTTGTTGAATTTCCCATGCCAGGAAGAGGGGGCTTAACACCTCTGTCCTCTCTCCTGACCCTCCACCCCTGCTTTGCTCCCACAATGAATTGCAAGTTGACCTCCAGCTGTCTTGCGTTGGTTCCTTCCTTGGCTTCAAAGATCTGCTTGGAAACATGTCATGCTACCAGGGCCTCAAGAGGGTAAAACGTTTTCCTTTCTCTAGTCTGTTTCAGGGCTTGCCTCTGTATCTCCTAGGACTCCTCCCAGAGGGAACCAAACCAGAGTGCCTGCCTTTCATAACACATCTCTACAGAGCAACCTGGAGCCCCTTAGCAAAGCAAAGATACTCTTCTACTTAAAAATCTGGCTCCATGACTCCCCAGCACCCTCAAAATGAAGTCTGAGGACCTCTTTGATCCAGGCTTCATCCAAGATGCTAACCTCATTTTATGCACCTCTCGATCTCCCCAATCCCCACCCATAAACTGCACAGATGCTCTGCCCTTGGGTGCTACATAAATCAGCCACCCTTCCCTCCTCTACAAATCCTTCTTCATGCTGCACTGGTTTAAATGTATTTCTTTACTTATATTAACTACTTAATTGACTGTGTGTAGGTAGAACACAAGCAGAGCTGATTGTCCTCTTCCACCATGTGAACCCCGGATCAAAATCAGGTCTTCATATTTAGTCAGGCTTGGCCAAAGGTGCCTTTACCAGCTAAGTCATTTCAGCAGTCACCTTTACAGATCCTTGAGAATGCATAGTCTTCTTTGGCCAGATGGTTCTTTGCATCCTCCATGCCACCAAAACTTCAAATGAGCCCATTCTCCCCCAGCCCTCGGATCTCATCTGGACACAACAGTCTTTGGTGCCTAATAGTCACTAGTCAGAGCTATCGTTTGTAAGTACAAGTAACCTGCCTGTGGACTTCATATATCATTGAACAAACCCCTCTTTGTAAGCCACAATACCTTCCACGACCTAGCTGACACCCTTGCTTCTTGTCTCACCTCAGACCACTGAACTCTGAAGCCGCCCACATTTTTTTCCCCTGGCTAAACTTACTTTATGTGCAAAGCCTCGGCTGGATCTTCTCAAATGTCACATCTTGAGATCCATTCTGGACTCTTTAATGAACTTGGGCTTGGGCATCCTAAGCGCGCTCTACCACAAAGCTATATCCCTAGATCTTTTGTTTTAGCAGCACGCGTCATTCTAAAACCACCCATTATTGTGCTCACTTACAGGGTTATTACCACCTTTCTTCCCGCCTAGCACGTAAGCACTGAGAGTTTAATTTTTTTTTTCTGTCACCACTATATCCGGCACCTGGCTGGGAGCCTGGCACAGTAGCTGTATTTTTGCAGGAAAGGATGAATATGGATCAAAGACACTTAGTTGAATCCGGTTGATCCTTAATCCCCGAGTCTGGGCAAGCCTCTGTTTCCTGCTGTGCGAAAAGGGATAGGGAGGAGGAAGTGAGATATTGAACTAAACTGCGTTGACGAGCTGCAAAAAATTGGGACTTGTTTTCCTGCAGTCTCGGCGTGCAGTCAGCCACTTAACGTCCAGCGGCTCAGCTCCCCACCTGTATAATGGGTGTGAACGAAAGCTCAACGATTTGGGATTGTAGCGCTGCCTTATAAGGCAGTAGAAGCCGAAGGCGGCCGTGAGGGTGGGAGGAGAGAAATCACAACATCCGGCTGCGGGGCGGGGGCGGCTGGGCTGGAGGCGGGCGCCGGTGGGGAGGCAGTAGCCTCTTTCCGTCGTCTGCTCGCTGCGGGACGTGCTCCTTTCAGCAGCAGCTGACCCAAGAGACGACGACAGGACGCACAGGCTAACTCAGTTACCCGCTGGCCGGCAGGCTACACAGCGTGATCGCAACAAAACCCTAGAAATCCCATCGGCGAGCCAAAGGCACTCGGTCAACGCCCCCATCCGATGACCCAATCAGATTGCACTGCTGCATGGTTGACTCTTCCTTAATCCAAACATACGCTTTGTCTCCTGGGCGTGGCCCCCCAGAGCCCACCCCCGACTCCCCGGCGGAGGCTCGGCCCTAATTGGCAGCTCAGCATCCTACGAAGGCCTAGAAATTCGAACCTAGGGGCTGAGTCCCGCCCGCAGTCCAACCAGGAAGAAGCAACGCAACGGGGCCCGCCCCCTCCCCGCGCGGAGCGAGTTCCCGGCTCCGTGGGCGGGGCAGGACGAAGAGACTGACCAATAGCAGTCTGGCGCGGGGACCGTCCGCTCGCCTATTGACTGAGCCAAGTAAACAGAGGGCGGGGCGGGGCGGGGCGGGACGGCGCCGGTGGCCCGGGAGGGGCGCAGAGTGCGCGGCGGGCGGCGGCGGCCGGGGAGGCCGGGGAGGCCCGGGAGGCCGCGGCGCGGTCAGTCGAGCCGAGCCGAGCCGCGCCGAGCCGATCGCCATCGGCTCCGGCTCTCGCGGGCGGTCCCGGCCGGCGGCGCGGCCTGGCGGGCCGGGCGGCGCTGCAGCCCATGGAGCTCGAGAACATCGTAGCGAACACGGTGCTACTCAAGGCCCGGGAAGGTGAGGCAGGCAGGCGGGCGGCCAGGCCCGGGTGCGGGGATCGCGGGCGCGCGACCTCGGAGTTCCACGGGTCGCCCGGGCCCCAGCTACCCTCGTGCCCTGGAGTCTGCACCCGGACTCTTAGCGCAGATACGAGCCCTTCCGGCCTGCCCCCGGCACCTGCCCCCGGAACCAAGGGCCCAGGAGGGGCGGGGGTCGCGCTGCGGGCATCACGGCGGGTGTGGGGGGATAAAAGGAGAAAGGGAAGGAAGAGAAAAAGATGGGACGCGAGCCCCAGGAGCGTGTATCTGAGGCCTCTTCTAGGTGAGAGGCAGGAAGGTGCCCACGTGCCCCAGGCCCAGATGCCCTGAACAGCACAAAGTTGGTAATCTGTAAAGATTGGAGAATGAATGAACCAAGCCTTTGCATAGACAGCCCAGCCGACATGGGGAAACTTGTGGACACGTACATTACCAGCAGAACTACCACTCACTAGGAGACTCTGGATACTATAAACGGGTGAATGGGTCACGATTTTTGCATACAGCAAGCCAACGACCTGTTAGGGCAGACGCACAAAGAAATGGGACCGAGCATATTGGGTTGTTCGTTGAAAAGCTTGGCTGGAAACCAGTCTTGTGGAATTAGTGCGTGCGCACATGGATGTGCTTCGGGGTGTCTGCTTATTGGTTTCACTTCAGATGCTAATTTACACCTGCTCTGTGAGGGCCCTAGGTGACCCAGGACCAGACATTAAACTCACTGCCTCCCTACCTCAGCGACATAATCACCAGACACACCTGTACTGCCCCACTCTGTCCAGGGTGCTGGGGGACCAACAACGAACAAGATTCTTTTTGGAACTCCAGGAACGTGGTGGCAGCTTTCCACTTTTTGATGGGCTGCCCGGCTGAAGGGGTCATTAGCTTCACTGTTCTAAATCAGGTTACAGATGGGAAACTGAGGCTCAAACCAGCGACTAAACCCAGATTACCCAGCAAGATTGTAATTGACCCAGGCTTAGGACTAAAGGTGCCCAGTAGAGTCTACAGCACCTCTGAGAAGCCCCCAGTGTGGTGAGGCACCTGATAGCCTCTTACTACCCAGGGCACGTCACACCCAGGAGGTGTTGCCTGGAAGTGGGATGGTCAGACTGGGTCCCTAGTGCCCAGGGGAGGCTATCTTATCTCCAGTCCCTTATCAAGTTCAGGGGCTGGGCCTTCCTCTCAGCCTCTGGGGGCATCTGCTGGTCTGTTCTGCCTTGTCATCCAGCCTGCTGGGGAGGAGGGGTAAGGAGAGCTGGGGCCAGGCCTCACTTCCTAGGGCTAGCCTCAGGCCCCTGAGGGCATTGCCTTACTGGGCCAGCGCTGCAGGTACCTTTGGGTAGTCTTTGTTGGATCTTGGGTGAGGCACGGGATAGCATGACCATAGCTGGGACTAGTGGCTCCCCTTCGAGGACCTGTCTCGTGAACTGGCTATGCTCCCCCACCCCCACCCATACACACCTGCTTGGCCTTTGGCACGCTTCCTGTCTCTTAACACCACTGTTCCTTTTTTTTCTGTATAGAAATTTTGAGCAAAGCCTCTTTGTCGTGGAGTCTCCCACTACCCTTGAACTAACTGGTGGTATCAGTGATTTCACAAACAGCTGACAGCTTGGGGTCAGCTTTCCAAGTGACCCTCAGGAGTGGGCAAACCTGTGGTTTATGTATACAGTTGACTCTTTTTTGTTGATTCTGTTTTTGAGATGGTCTTCCTATATAATCTTGACTTACTTGGAGCTTGCTATGTAGACCACAAGCTGGCCTCGAACTCAGTTTTACCTGCTTTCTGCCTCCCAAGTGCTAGGATCAAAGGTCATTTGGCGGTTAATAAATGCCACTCATGTTAGAGGTGGGAAAGGAACTTGAATTTGGGATTGGGCTTGAATTTCCTCCCACTGTCACGTTAAGGCTCTGAACTCACCACTCAGAGACTCAGTTTTCTTGGGAACTTGTGTGTTATCTGGTTGGGGGGATGGCCCTGGGGGTGTGCACCCTCACTTGGATTTTCTTCCTTTCCCAGGTGGCAGAGGCACACAGGAGGGCAGGGTTGGGTGGAGGGGAGCCCCACAGATAGCCCCACAGTTCTAGGACAGGACATTTGCATGTGACTTGTTGCTCTGGAGCTGGGAGGAGGGAGAGGAGGAAGTGACTTCTGGGGGAGGCAAGCAAATGGAGGGTTGGGTGAGGGACCGGGGTGGAGGGAGAGTGGGAGGAGTTCCTCTTCGGGGGAGGCCTTGCCATTGGTTAAGGAGTAGAGGTCTCTTACTTGCAGTGAAGCAATGACTGAGGCACGTGGGGTATAGGCTGTAGCAGGGCCACCAGAGGGTTTCTCAAGGGGACACTGCAGCACTTCCTTCTTCCTCCGGGAGCCCAATCAGGGACCCAGCCCTGCCCCTTTCCCAGAAGGCAGCTTTTCCTCCTGTACTGCTTACACTGGGTCAAGGGGAGACAATAGTGGGGAAACTGAGACCAGGCAAGGGAAATTCATTGCCTAAGGTCCTCAGTGAATTGGAGATGGGTCTTGCCTCTTTCCACAACCCTACTGAGTGCTGGACACAGTTCCTTCTCCCCCCACTCACCTTGGAGGTGCCACGACAGTTGGGTAGTGTGGGTGCTACAGTGACTGCCAAAAGTTCCCGATCCTGGTCCTCTCCCGCCATCCTTAGTGTGTTGTCCCAAAGACCTGTGTGGCTTTCTTTCTGACGTGCTCTGTTTTCCTGCAGTGTGGAGTTTTGAGACCTTGCCTATGTAGGCCTGACTGTTCTGGAACTCACTGTGAGACCAGGCTGGTCTTGATCTCACAGAGACCCCACCTCCAGTTCACGCCCCCTCACTATTTCAGCAGGTTGGGGTGGGAACTGCCGAAGCACACATTTACCCTACCTTTCAGATTCTGGAGGCGTCCCAGCAGCTACAGATAGGGGCTCACCTAGGTAGGCAAGCATCAAGGCAGGGGTAGGGGCATCCTGAATGCCAGCCCTCCTGTGGGCAGGGAGATAGTTCTGGTGCAATCCTTGGTGTTAAGGGCCTGGGGGATTGCCTGGGCTGTCCCTGGTATCAAGTACCACATAGATTCTCTGGCTGGCATGCCTCGGCTTCTTTGGTGACCCTCTCCACTGTGATGCCCTTGGCTACTTTTTTGTTTGCTTGCTTTTTTCTTTCTTTTCTTTTTCTTTCTTTCTTTCTTTCTCTCTCTCTCTCTTTTTTTTTTTTTTTTTGACATGATTTCTATATGTGTAACAGCTCTGGCTATCCTGGAACTCACAAGAGATCCACCTTCCTCTGCCTCCTGAGTATTGGGATTAAAGGCTTGTAGGTGGCCAGGCTCTTGTCTACTTTCTTAACCTGTAGAATTCCTGCTGAGTAGGGAGTGAATGAGGCAAACTTCTTGCAAAAATGTCCTCACTGCTCTTTCTGGTTCTCATCCTGGGATCCCTTAGCATGGCTGCCCAGAAGGACCATGTGTATACTGGAACTTGTAAGGGGCAGGTAGGAGTCTATGGTACTTCAGGACTCCAGGGAGACCCAGCTCCTGGGGTGTACAGGAGTGTGTGGTAGCTCAGGACTCCAGTAAGACCCTGCTCCTGGTTGCTCTTGCAGGTGGTGGCGGGAATCGCAAAGGCAAAAGCAAGAAATGGCGTCAGATGCTGCAATTCCCCCATATCAGCCAGTGTGAAGAGCTTCGGCTCAGCCTTGGTGAGGCGTGGGTAAAGCCCCGGATTGCCAGAGCAGAGGGGAGGCTACCCAGCAGGATCCTTTCCAGCCAGACCTTGCCCTGGGTCACAGGAGCACCATAGGGGAAGGGGGTGTCCAATGCCCAGGAAGACTGAGACTACATGATCCAGCCCAGTTTCGGTTCCTGGGTTTGAAATGGGTGGAAGGGAGAGAATCGGTTCTGACTGGTGTCAGTGGAGTGGGCATGGGGAAGAGGAGAGCTGGTATGATGGACTGGAGGGAGGAAAGGCAGCCTGGGCCAACAGGTTTGGAACACCAGTCCTGTGCTTATGACCTGAGGGCACCCATCAAAGCTAGAGAAGTATGATCTGGTTATTTCTAGAAGGGGCACAAGGGCTCACCCCGATGCTATTTCTTGGGTGAGGATCTGAAGCACTTGAGGTGTCCCAGGTCCCTGCTGATGGCTTGCATGTGGGTAGAATGTACCCTGCTTTGGAAAGGAGGCCCAGCTGAGAGCAGCGGAAGCCACAGCTTCCTCTCGCACTTTCGCCAGGCAGGCAACAGGTGTAGGCTTGGGCTGGGCCGGGCCGGAACCTCACAGACCACACCCAACCCCAGAACTGTAACATGCACGTCTGTGAACCCGGAGACCTGGGCTCTGGAGTCCAGACTCCTGGCTGTGTGACAGAGTTGAATTGATCAACCTCTCTGGGTCCCATAGCCCCCAGGTTTCATTGGGGTAACAGTGGTACCCACCTGAGGGTTACAGTGAGGGTTCTAAAGAAGATAATGGCTACCGCTCTCAGAGCTAGAAGTTATCAGATCCCAGATGTAGGGGTATATAGACCACAGTGCCCTGTGACCCAGCAGCTCCCCTCTTGGCCTGCAGAGCGTGACTACCACAGCCTGTGTGAGCGTCAGCCCATTGGGCGCCTGTTATTTCGTGAGTTCTGCGCCACAAGGCCTGAGCTGACCCGCTGTATTGCCTTCCTGGATGGGGTGGTGAGTACCGTGCTGAGGGCAGGCAGAGGTCCTGGCCACGCCCTTCCCCCCCACATCTGTCACCTCGCTCAGCCTCCAGCTTCTTTGCCTCTCACCCTGCAGGCTGAGTATGAAGTGACCCCTGATGAGAAACGGAAGGCATGTGGGCGGCGACTAATGCAGAATTTTCTGAGCCACACGGTGAGTGAGCCGTGATGGAGAGATGACGACAACAGGCAGAGGAGTGACCACAGCCTGGGCAGTGAGTGCCTTGGAGCTGTTCCAGGCAGCACCATGGGCATAGAGCCCAGGGGTTGGGCTGAGCTTGGGTCAGGCAGCCTGCCAGTGGCTGTCTCACTCACCCTGTCTCAAGCGGGAGGGGGCAGGAAGGGAGTTCAGCAAAAAACGCAGCCAGTGCACTACCCATCCACAGCCACCCTTGGCACCCACAGACCTGGCAGTATTGCCTTGGGCGTAGGCAGCTGTCCAAGGGAGCCTCTGCATTGACCTGTCCATGGCCTGTCCCTAGGGTCCTGACCTCATCCCCGAAGTTCCCCGGCAGCTGGTGAGTAACTGTGCCCAGCGGCTAGAGCAGGGACCCTGCAAAGACCTCTTCCAAGAGCTGACCCGGTAAGGCTCCATCCCCACCAATTTAGAACTGTGCTAAGGAAAGGGGCTTCTGTGGTCCTTGAAGTCCCTGGCAAGCTCAGCTCCTCTCCCTGTCCACGCTGTTGGACTTTAGCAGTGGCCTCCCTCTGTGTTTCAGCATGGGATGCATGTCTCCTGCTCAGTGCATTAGTGAGAAGATTGTCCAAGGACAAGGATGGTGCTTTGTGGGCTGAGCACACTTACAATGGGAGGCCTGGGCCTTCAGGCTGAGATTGGGATTGTTAGGGACCAATCCCTATGGGCTGCTCCTTTCTCTACAGGCTGACCCACGAGTACCTGAGCATGGCCCCTTTTGCCGACTACCTCGACAGCATCTACTTTAACCGTTTTCTGCAGTGGAAGTGGCTGGAAAGGTGCGCTCCTTGTGGGCTGGTCTGGGGTAGGCAAGGCTGTGGGGTTTCCTTGTGGGAATCCCTGCATAAATATTTGTTTCTTTTACTCTTGCCTATAGGCAGCCAGTGACCAAAAACACCTTTAGGCAGTATCGAGTTCTGGGCAAAGGTGGCTTTGGGGAGGTGAGTGGCCTCCTGGTGCCTTTGCAGAGTACACTAGATGGGGTATGGTAGCCCTGGACCTTCCCGCCTCCAGCAAGAGCATGGCTGGCCCCCATTTGTTCCTGTCTACCCCGGCTACAGGTATGTGCCTGCCAGGTGCGGGCAACAGGCAAGATGTATGCATGCAAGAAACTGGAAAAGAAACGAATCAAGAAGCGGAAAGGGGAGGCCATGGCGCTCAATGAGAAGCAGATCCTGGAAAAAGTGAACAGTAGGTTTGTAGTAAGTACACAAGGAGCTCTCTCCCTCCCCTACGGTCTCACTGACATCTGCCTTCCCCCCCAACCAGGCTAAAGTCCCTCCCTGCTGCCAAAGGGACTGCCCTTCCTGCCCTGGGCAGTACCTAAGAAGGGTGGGGTAGGAGCTATTTCAGGCTCAGGAAGCCTGCTGAGCCCTAAGGAGTGGCACAGAGAAGATTGTTTGGGTGGCTGCTATTAGCACATGTGTACACACACGCGCACACACACCCCAGGCGCACACACACACACACACACACACACACACACTCACTCGCACACCCCAGGCACCCCCACAGCTCCTGCCTGAAGGTTTGTTTCTCCTGAGCACAGGTGAGCTTAGCCTACGCCTATGAGACAAAGGATGCGCTGTGCCTGGTGCTGACATTGATGAATGGAGGCGACCTCAAATTCCACATCTACCACATGGGCCAAGCTGGCTTTCCTGAAGCAAGGGCTGTCTTCTATGCTGCGGAGATCTGCTGCGGCCTGGAGGACCTGCACCGGGAACGCATTGTGTACAGGTGGGGCTGAGCTTCTGGGATGGCCACTCCAGGACTGGTCCTTCCTGGACAGGGGCAGCAGTTAGATGATAGTGGCAGATAAGGCTGTCTATCAAGCCAGCCAGTGGAAGGACAGTGCGCTGGGGGTTTGTCTAGCCACAAGCCAACACTGGCTCTAGGCACAAACTTACCCACATTTGATAGATTTGAGTGCTTCATGCCTAGGTTTTGGGATCTAGCCGGACCACTGTGTGAATTCTTTTTGTCGCCCTTCTCTGTGTGACCTTGAGCTAGTCAGCTCCCTGCTTCCAGCATGAGTTCTTTTTCTGGGAGACCGTCATTCCTGCCTTGCAGGTGGGCTCAGTAGTAGAGAGCTCTGCTTATGGATGGCGCTTTCCCCTGAGCCTCACTGCGGCCTCAGAGGGGATGGAAGAGTAGCCTCATGTGACAGAGAAGGTAGAGTTGGCCACCAGGGGAAGGGAGCTGCACCATCAAGGGTGACCAAGTCCAAGGATGACGTCCAAGGATTCCCTCCTCCCAGATGGGTCCCCCCACTGGGTGGGTGTCCTCAGTACTTTGGATTCACTGCCCTAAAAGGCTCCTAAAGTACCGGCTCTGGAGGTCCTTGCCCTGCTCCCCTGAGTTGGCTGCAGCCTGGGGAGAGCAGGGCTCTTTTACCCTGGCAGCAAATGAGTCCTTCACCTTGCTCCATGCCCGATCCCAGCAGGCACTTGAGCTACGAGAGGCTGGCTGTGTCTGGCTTCTTGGAAAACGGCAGCATCTGACCCTGCCTTTTTTCTCCCCTTAGGGACCTAAAGCCAGAGAATATCCTGCTGGATGACCATGGTGGGTGAGAAGTGAGAAGGCCCAAGTGGGAGGGATGTGATGGGAAAGCCTGGCCTGTCAGTGGACCCACCTGCTTCAATACCCCACCCAGGCCACATCCGCATCTCTGACCTGGGACTGGCTGTGCATGTGCCCGAGGGCCAGACCATCAAAGGCCGTGTGGGCACTGTGGGCTACATGGGTAAGTCCAGTCTCCTGGGTCCCCATGCTGTCCTTAGCCTGGCCTACCCACTGCTGTTTGGCGATGTGTGTGTGTGTTCCATCTCAGAGTAGATAACCCATATCAAAACTGCTACTTGTTGTTGTTGTGGTGGTGATGGTGGTGTGTTAGGAGACCAGGGCTTAGCCAGTTCCCCATTGTGAAGCTGCTAGTCATTTGCTGGGTGCTTATTGAACTCCAAGGATTGGGTGGACCTGTTGGAGTGAAGGTTAAGGAAGCCAAATGCATTTCCATGGCCCATTGTTCCCCTGCATGGCCCATGCTTGGACTATCATGCCTGTCTAAGATCTAGGCAGTGGAGCCCTCCTAGCGTGTGACTGTGGAACCCAGTGCAGTCCAGGTTTTCCAGGCTCCATCTTGAGAGCTAATAACTCCACTTTTAGCCTCTCTTTCTTCTGCTGTAAACCTCCTCAGAGCTGCCTCCTGGAGGGCTTTGAGATTAGAGATGTGGGGAGGGGGGACTCTGCAGGAGGTGCCCGGCAGGTGGAGGTACCAGCAAGTGGGTCTTTTCCTCCCCTCATGAAATCCAGAAGCTAAAGTCAGTGGCTACATGGTCCTGATAGGGCCTACATGAATCCTGAAGTTTAATTGTTTTTAGAATAATTTGAATTGATTGCCAACATTTAATAAGCCAGACAACTTCATGTTTAAAAAAAAATAAGTAGTGGGGGATTTGAGGCTGGGTGTGTACGAGATAGCTCATACGGCTACGTGTGCATGGCCCTGTGTTCACCAAACTCCAGCGTTGGGATCTACACACACACAAACTCACACACACACACACACACACAAAACCCAATTTGTTCTAGAAAAAAAAATAATAAAGCAAAGCAAAACAAACAAACAAAAAAGAACAGTCAGACATGGTGACCTTGATGTGACACCCACCCTCTTCAGGGCCACATCAGCTCCCATTGTGAGATGTGGTTTCTTATACTGCCTGAGTCCCACCAGGCCAGTGAAATGCCTGCCCAGCCAATGAGTGTTTGTACTGATCCCCTGGTTTTTGTTTCTGAGGCCTGAGGGCTGTCTGTTCCCTACTGCTTACCGAGCCCTGACTCCTGTGCCCCTGCCCAGCTCCGGAGGTAGTGAAGAATGAGCGGTATACCTTCAGCCCTGACTGGTGGGCGCTTGGCTGCCTCCTCTATGAGATGATTGCAGGCCAGTCACCCTTCCAGCAGAGGAAGAAGAAGATCAAGCGGGAAGAAGTAGAGAGGTTGGTCAAGGAGGTGCCCGAGGAATACACAGAGCACTTTTCCCCACAGGCACGCTCGCTCTGTTCTCAGGTACTACTGCAAGCTATAGGTGGGCCTGGCCTGGCCTGGCCTGGCCTGGGCTGGAGCCGGGGGTACCTCAGCTGCCCAGAGAAACCCTAACCACCCATGCCCTGCTACAGCTTCTCAGCAAGGACCCTGCTGAGCGCCTGGGGTGTCGTGGAGGTGGTGCCCGGGAGGTAAAAGAGCACCCCCTTTTCAAGAAACTGAATTTCAAGCGGCTGGGAGCTGGGATGCTGGAACCACCTTTTAAGCCTGATGTAAGTCCTACCCACCCTTGCTAATGGTCAGGCCAGGGGTCAGGTCAAGCCAGGGTGCAAGAGGGCTTGGAGCAATGAGCAGGTCGCTTTCAGTGCAAATGTTAGAAAAACCCATCTAATGGTTGGGCTGCCCTCCAGAAAGTGTATGTATGAGCATTCGTGTGTGTGCATGCACGAGTTTTAGTGTTAGGATAGGATGGGGGTGGACATGGGGATGCTTCAGGAGCATGGCAGCAACTCGATTCCTCTCGGGCATCTTTCTCAGGGAGTGGCACTGGTGGCCTAGCAGCTCAACCTCACATCTTCTTAGCTAGCCAGCTACCCAGTGGAAAGAGAGCAACTCTATTCAAGAACTCGAAAGGAAATTCTGAGACTGTTTGCCAAAGAGCCTCACTGGGTACCTGGATCACATGCCTTCTGTTCCAGTGGCAGCTTGCGTCCCCCCTAAGTCTGTGGAGACGGGGTCCTGTGTTTGACAGCTTGCCAGGAGCACCTGGGAAAGCCTTCAGGCGATGGGCTCACCAGCTTGGTGGCTGTCAACCACATGTGTTTATGCTTTTACATATACCTGGATATCATATGTGTCAGGCCTTGTTGGTAATGAGGCCCACAGAGCCAGGCCATCCCTATGCTCTAATGGAGAGACACCAAAATAAAGCAGTAAACAACTGAGTGACAGAGGAAAGAGAACAGGCTAGGAAGGCAGCTCTGAGGAGGTGTAGTCACTTTAGACAGGGTGATCTCTGAGAAGCTGATGCCTAAGTAGAACTGAAGAGAGAATCATGCCAAGATTTGAGAACATGGGCAGTACAGGCAAAAGGAGCAGGCAGGCACCAAAGCCCTGAGGCAGGATCAGCCTAGGGACAAGGAAGGGCAGCTATGAGGCCAGTCTGGCTGGAGCAAGTATGTGTAGAGCAGGAACGATTCCATGCTCTAAGCACGGCAGGCTACCTTTGTGGGGGGCTCAGCCCTAAATGAGGTGTGGGAATGGGTCATAGAAGATAGGCATGTTAGTGGGGGGCGGGCGGGTGGTGATGGAAGCTGAGTGATGGCTCAGATGGTAGACCTCACCCACACCGAGAGGGTGAGCCTTGTTAGTGGGCTGGCACTTGAACCAAGCAGGTCTGACTTCATCCTGCTGCCTCAGGCTAGAGCTGCTGCACAGGCTGATTCCCACTCTGTGTGTCCTCTAATGAAGGAGTCACACTGTGATATCTGCACAGGCTGATTCCCACTCTGTCCTCTAATGAAGTAGTCACACTGTGATATCTGCACAGACTGATTCCCACTCTGTCCTCTAATGAAGGAGTCACACTGTGATATCTGCACAGGCTGATTCCCACTCTGCATATTCTCTAATGAGGTAGTCACACTGCCTATGGGTCAGTGGCTCAAATTTAGAAATAAAGTCAACGTCTTGGAATTTAACATTAGAAGTAGTTTGTTTATTATGTATACAGTGTTCTGTCTGCATGTTTGCTTGCACACCAGAAGAGGGCATCAGATCTCATTACAGATGTTGTGAGCTGCCTTGTGGTTGGTTGCTGGGAATTGAACTCAGGACCTCTGGAAGAGCAGTCAGTGCTCTTAATCTCTGAGCCATCTCTCCAGCCCTGCCTTTTTGTTTTGTTGTTGTTGTTTTTTTAATTAAGAACGCAATGGCCTGCATGTGTTTGTGTAGGGGTGTGTACATGTGAATTCAGATGTGAATTCAGGAGTCTGTGGAAGGCCAGAGGTATCAGATCCTCTTGGAAGAGCAGTGTAAGCTTTTAACTTCTGAGCCAGCACTTGACAATTTTTTGTTGTTTGTTTTTGGCTTTGTTCTTAGGGACAAAGTTTCTTTCTGTAGCTCTGGCTGACCAGGAACTTACTCTGTAGACCATGAACTCAGAGATCCACCTGCCTCTGCCTCTGAGTGCTAGGATTAACAGCGTGCTAGCATGCCCAGCTGACAATATATCTTTAACAACTCTATTAGAATGGAATTCACAAAGGTAACCCATTTAAAGTATGCAGTTCAATTGAAAGAGTCATGTGATTGTCAGCACATAAGGCCAGGATGTTTTCACCAGCCTCTTCAGAACCCAGACAAGACCTGATGTCCATCAGGGTTCTGAATGCTCCCCTCTTGTCCAGGAAACTCACTAGTTCTGTGTGAGTAGATGGATACTTGGACTGGCTTCTTTTGCTAAGAATGCTTGCAAGGTTCATCCGTGTTGAAGCATACACCAATACGTTGTTCTTTTTCAAAGCTGAATAATATTCTATTATATGAATATGAATTTTATTCATAGTTGGCATGAGGGTATCTTTCTTTTTGGGGGCGGGGCTATCAGGAATAATGCTATATTTTGAGATGAGGTCCATTGTACTGCCTTGTGCAGTTTTGAACTCGCAGACTCAAGCATTCTCTCTGCCTTAGTACATACATTGATATGAAATTACAAATGTTATGTCTTTTATGGAGCTTTGGACTTTCCCAGGTCAGACACACAAATGCATGATAGTCATGATAATGTGTGTATTGGTAGGT